TACTGTGATATAGGAATACTGATGAGGAATACTTAACTTAGGCAGAGTGTCAGGGAAGTGTTCCTGTGAAAAGGAGGTTATTTCTGTGCTGAGTTGCAAAAGGCAAGCTGGACTTAGCCAAGTAGGGCATAAGGGGAAAATCATTCCAGGCAGATTGACCTGCATGTGCAAAGGCCCTGTGGCCTCAAGAGCTGGTAGCAGCTAGACGTCACAAATGCTTCCTTCCTTCTGTTGGAGCATGGGTGTGGAGTGAAGAATGGCCCTGAGGATTAAGAGGGGTCAGACTGCAAAAGACTGGGCACGCCATGGTAGGGGGTCTGGTTTCACCTTAAAAGATGTGAGGGAGCCAAGGAAGTCTTTTAAGCAGGGCAAGAAAGCAGGGTCTGGTTAGAGTCTGTTCAGTACTGCAGGTGAGAAACAACTGGGGCCAATGGCAACAGTGGCACCTCTCCTGGGGCATCTATCGTACATTGCCCTGTATTGCTATTTGTGTACATATTTTCGAACTTCCTGAAATTTCTTACCTCTCTTTTTCTCACCAAATTGTAAACTCTTTTGAAGATAAGTGCCAGACCTTAATCTTTTCTTTGTCAAAGCCTTTTCTGCCAGGATCTGCTCTGATATCAGCAGAACCAGACAGTGAAAAAATGGGGACTAGCCTAGAAGCCGTAGGCAAGAGGGAGCTCCCAAACCAAGAGAGAAAGGAATGTGAGGTTTCTTTTTACTCCGACCCCACACTGCCTGCAGCCCAGCTGGGTTCCCGCTCTAGTTTCTGAGAAACAAGGTCTGAGTCACCTCTTTCTTCCTAAAATCCCCTCTTCCTCAAAGGGATCTGAAGGCCGGAGAGGTCCGGAGTAGGAAGGATAGCAGGCAGCACCATCTGATTCTTTCCCCTTCTTGCCATATAGACAAAGGGCAGTGATGCTGACCGTGGCCAAGCGCAGAAGACCCTAACCAGAATATAACGTCCACCGCTCACCCCTGGGGCCTGGCCTCCACTGGGAGGGAATTTCACTTGGAGAGTGGTGAAATTAACCTTGAGAAGCTGGGTGGGAGGTGTGGAGAAGAGAGCTTGAAGGAAGGCAGGGAGTGGAATCAAATCATTTGAACCACTTCTCTGGTTACCGGGCTCTTGGCTGTCTTTCTGGTAATTGCTTGTTTGTTCACTTCTCGGTTCTCAGAGGCTGTTGGACTCCGGCTGCTCTGGGAGTTGTGGGCTTACCTGACCCCCCCTCCTCCCCACACCTTCTCCACTGTGTAGAACCTACTGGGAAGAAACAAAGACCAGAGTTCAAGTCCTAATGAGGTCTCCAGTGAGGGAGAGGTGAGAGTCTTCATTTGGTACCGGGCAGAGAGATGCTGAAATCCCAGAACCAGCCCTTAAATTGGCCGTTGGCTGGGCGCTCAGAATGAGTATCCCTGGGAGGTGGGCAAGCTTCTGGAACCTGGTTTCTCGGAGAGGAGCTCTAAGTGCAAAGAGCCCTCCTGGGCCGTTTTTGTACCTAACCTACAGCCCTTCCCCCAGAGTGAATTTGAGTGCTGTGATATAATAAATAAAAATCAGAGTAAAGACACACGACAAACACAAATATACATATTGTACCCATAAATAAAACAATAGATAAGTAAATCCTCTTATCTGACTGTAACTGGTAAGAGCTTGTAGAAGTGTTCCCAAAAGGAGACAGATAATAGCCTCTTCATTAGTTAGGGTCCTTATCTGCATTTCTATGGTGAGGGATGATCATGTATTCATTTGAGTATGACTCCGCGCCTCTGGAGACAGAGATTCTGTGAAAACATTTATTAGGGGTAGGACCTTGCTAGAAAAAGCTATAGGTGTGCAATTCAGATCTTCTAATTAAAGCACATTATCACTTACAAATGGTTAGGGCTGTAATAAACTAACCCTTAGGGGAGCCTGGGTCAAAAAACAAAGATAATTTTCTAAAGAAGGGTCAATACAAAACTAATGGAAGAGTTTACCATTGCTTTTCCTTAGGGACATTAGGTCCTTCAAGACTCTTAGCCTTGATCTCTAAATTCAGGTCTCCCCTTTGGCCACGCCCGTAAGGGAGGCTATCAGAGTCCTTGAGCAAGTGGAAGCAGAGCTGAGTCTCTGACGGCATCTGGGACATCTCTGCCCTTTCCTTCCCTGTACTGTAGCCTATCCTCAGCAGCACTTGTGGCTGCCCCAAAGCCAAGTTTTCCCAGTCAATGTCCCCTGTCCCCTGTCCCCTGCCGGGACCACCCTCCCCATCTACCTGCTGGGCCAATGAATCCTGGCAGACTTTTCTCCTTGATGTAATGATTTGTTCGCACTTCCTTTGTCAACCATACGGTGCCCTCCCCACCTCTAAATCACATTCATCTTCCTATCCCTCTTATCTAGCCCAGAACCTGGCAGGTGCTACGGACTAGATGTTGTCTGGGGAGACTCAAGTCCTGGTTCAGTCATTCATGATCTGTGTGACTTTCAGCAGGCCTTTTCATCTTTTTGTGTCTTAGCTTCTTCATTTTAAAATAAATCTTGCCAATTCCAACTTACACGGTTACAAATTAAAAATGAGACAACTGTGGAAGTGCTGAACAAAAACGCCAGGTGGTGGAGGTGGTAGGAGGGGCGCTTAGCTCCAAGCGAAGACATATTTGCCTTAGTCTGCTCTGGCTGCCATAACATGATACCACAGAGTAGCTTAGGCAACAAAAATGTATTTCTCACAGATCCGGAGCGTGGAAGTCTGAGATCAGAGTGCCAGGGTGGTCAGGTTCTGTTGAGGGCTTTGTTTCTGGCTTGCAGATGGCCACCTTCTTGCTGTGCCCTCACATGGCAGAGGAGGTAGAGAGCTCCTAACGACCCTATTTCCAGATATAGCCACATTAGGGGTTAGAGCTTCTGCACATATGAATTTTGGGGAAGGAGATTCATTCCACGGCAATACTGAAGGAGATTCATTGGCACATAGCCCTTGAGTCTGTCCCCACCTCCCACAGCTTGCAGATCTGGAGTACCCCCCCAACTCCATATTGCAACTACAGTATATTAATCATGACTTATATACCAATTTATATAAGTTATTGAAACAACTAAAGCATTTCAATAACTAAAGCATTTGTATGACGTATCTATGGCTTGCGAAGAATATTTCATACATTGACTAACCTCACTTTTATAACTATCTCACAGATGAGAAAAGCAAGGCCCCAGTGGCCCAGCCCAAGTCTTATTTCCCGGTCCTCTAGCCATATACCTCCAAACTCTTGGCCACACCGAAGTACTCGGCTGTAACCACTTCAAAGAAAACAGGGCTCTAAGAGCTGGTGAAGTCTAAACTCTAGTTCCTCCGCTGTGACCACAGCTGACCATCTTTACTTGTTCTATTTGCTTCCATATGAATCCTTTCTTTGTGCTCTAGAATTTTATGGAGTAGAAAATATATATGAAATGAGACAACATTCTTAGAGGAAAGGACTTACAAATGCAAAGTATTAATATTTCATTTGTTTGATTTGGGCCTCATTTTCAAAGGACCCTGCTTTCTTTCTTGTCCCCTTCCTTTCTTCCTCCCTCCCTACCTCCCTTCTCTTTTTCTGAGACGGAGTTTCGCTCTTGTTGCCCAGGCTGGAGTGCAATGGTGCGATCTCCGCTCTCTGCAACCTCCGCCTTCCCGGTTCAAGCGATTCTCCTGCCTCAGCCTCCCGAATAGCTGGGACTACAGGCATGAGGCACCACACCCTGTTCATTTGGTATTTCTAGTAGAGACAAGATTTCGCTACGTTGGTCAGACTGGTCTCCAACTCTCGACCTCAGGTGATCTGCCCGCCTTGGCCTCCCAAAGTACTGGGATTACAGGCGTGAGCCACCGTGCCCGGCCAGGACCCTACATACTTTCTTAGTGTGTTTCTTTGGGATGCTCTGCCCACCCAGGAGAACGGAAGGCGGCACTGTCTGGTTTTACTTGCATCAGTTTTAGAACTTCCTACGTGCCAGTGCCTCCGCCCTGCAGACGCTCACATTCCAAACAAGTCAGGTGCAGGCTCCCCTCCTTGAAGACGGACGGTGTGAACCGAGCTAACTCTGGTCGGCCCCTCTCCTTCCGACTTCCCACTCCCGTCCCCACACCGCCCAGCCCAGAACTTCTCAATTCTGACCCAGACACCCCGGGAGACCGAGAGGCTCTTTTGGGGATCTGCAATACACCCTCCTTACCACAACCAACAGACAACACGCACGAGTGCCGTGCAAGGTGGAAACCCATCCCTCCGGGGGGCGATCGCCCCAGCAGGGTGAAGCAGGCCCCTTTGTTCACCGGATGCCTAGCTAGCAGCTTCCCTCCAGCCCAGTGCCGCCAGCGCCCAGAGCTCTGGATTCCTCCCGCTCCCCCCCCCACCCCCACGCAACCCATCAGCAGGAGCGGGCTTCATTTTTCCGGTCCCCCTTTCATCTGGCCACGCCGGCCGGGCACCGTCAGCCAAGGTCTCCTCCCATCCCAGGAGGAAGGGCGGGTAGACCCGCGGAGGATTTAAAGGGGCGCGGAGGTCAGGCGGGCTGGGGGCGGCTCCGCGGAGAAAATGGGGCGCGCGCGTCCGCTCCCGCAGCCTCGGCCGCCGCGAAGCTTCCTCCCAGCTCCCGCCTTTCCGGGCCCGGCGGGCCGAGGGGGAGGGGAGGCTTCCTGCGCCGGCGCCCGCGGCTGCCCCAGTGCGGTCCTGCCCGAAAGCAGGCCGGGGCGGGGGCTGGGCGCTCGGCGCGGCGGGCGGGAGGGCGGTACCCGCCGCTTTCCGAGCCACCTCCCGCGCGCCGCGGCCGCGGTTGCCAGGGTGACCGGGGGAGCTCCGTCGGGGGAAGGCGGCCGCGGCGGGGGCCGGCGGGCGGAGCGCAGCGGGCGGGGCGGGGCGGGGTGGGGGCGGGAGGCGCTGCCTCGTCGCCATGGGAACGGCGCAGTTATTTCCAGCCCCCGGGCCGTGCCAGTGGCGCGGTGCCAGGGTGCGAGGGTATTGCAGGACAGCGGCAATCTGCTGCGTCCTGGGACGTAACAATGCGCCCCTTCTGCGACGCGGGGCCCGCGGGCGAGAGGTCCCGCTGGTCGGAGGGGCCGGGCCGCCCCTGCGCGTCGTGCCTCCTCTCGGCGCTCCTCCGCGGGGAACCTGGCGGCCCAGGGCGCTCCCGGCTGCACGTGCTGTCCTCGCCGCCGCCCACGCCAGACAAAGCGGGGCCCTCCCGGGCGCGTTTCCTAGGCGCCCTCCTTCCCTTGATGAACCCTTTGATTTCTTCTCTCTTCTCTATTTCTCACGTCGTTCCAGCCCCCTCTGCTGACTCCTGGAGCGCCTTTTTTTTTTTTTGTGCTAGCTGTCTCACGTTTGGCCCTCTCCAAAGCTCTGCCTTCACGAACGCCTCCATTTGACCTAACCCCTTCCCCTACTCTCTGGTCTCCCTTGGTAGCTTTACAATGCATCTGATGGAAAGGTGACTCTCCCCTCTCCTATTTTCAGCTCCTCGTTACCTTTTGTATTGTCCTCCCCCTTCCTATCAGCACCTTCCTTCTGTCCTCGCCCTTTTCAGGACTCTTCCAGAAACTATCTTGATGTCGCTGCCTCTTTCCCGTCTCCTTTGCACTTTTTCTTTTCTCTCTGGGCAGTGGGACAGCAGAAGGGAGATTGCAAATGGCTACCTAGATTGAGTCCCCCTTGTACCTCACTGACGCCACCCTTTTTTCTGTCACGTTGAGGTCGAATTATCTGGGCGACTGGATGAGGCTCTGGGGGTTCTGCTGCTGTTGCCGCCATTAGCAGTCTCTTTGCTTGGCAACTTAAATGAAGGAAGCTTCTGGGAACTGGCCAAAGACCCTTGAGATGCACCTTGAGGACTAAACATCTCTCTCACTCTATCTCTGCTTGGTTACTCTTTGGTTCGTCTCAGACACCCTCTGCCTCTTCCCACTTCTTGACTCCCTTCACCCCTACCCGCCCCCCAACAATCACATTGTTCATCCCTTTGGCACCAGCTCTAGAGAGGAAAGGGTAGGTCCTCCTCTCCAGGAAGGAAGGTGGGGCAGAGTAGCTCCGGCAGGAAGGGAAGGAAAAAGGAGGGAAGGAAGGAAGTGGCCAACAGAAGGTGGAATCCGGTGGGAGGGCTTTTCATTGTTTGAACTTCTTTCCTTTTTAGCTCTGCAAAGTCAAGCCCAAGGCCGTCTCCCCAAGGTTCTGCTGCCATCTCTAGAACCCCAGCTGGGACTCCCTGCCAGAGCCTGGAGGGGCTGAGGTTTTGGTGGAAGTAGGTAAGGCAGGTGGGCAGGAGTTTAATGTCTGCTGCAAATTGTAAGCACGTACATTTTTAATGTATCCATATCCTTCTGTTTCTTTTCTGTCCAACGGAGTCAGCTTTTATCTTCCCTTTTCTCCAAGTGGGGGGGGGGGAACCTCCAGGGTAGAATCATGCCTCAGGTAAGGAAAAGGAAAATGTATCTAGCATTTCCTGAGGACCTTCTACATGTGAATCTGCTCTTATATTCTGTAATACTTCATATTTACATAGGGCTTTATTCCCTTAAAGGCTGAGTTTTAAAGTTACTGGGTAAAAGGAACCAAGTAGGGGTGATGACGAGGGTTGAGATGAAGTGGGAGCTCTTTAAAACTGTCAATACTCATCAATACTGCTCTTCAATATTTCCCCACTTTTTTTCTAGCCTAGGCCCAGCACCAAATGCAGGTCCCAGGAACACAGGCAAGGAAGTGCTTTTGTCCATTGTAGGCCTGTGAGCCAGTACCAGAGGTGCTTAGTTACAGATGAAAAGAAGTTCCTGGTGTGACTGTTCTTTTGCATAGTGTATTTTTCCATCTCCATTCACTTAATACCTGAATGCCTAGAAAACCACCAGCCAGGTTTCAGCTCCATTGGCAGTATCTTGTTCTTTGAAAGCCCTAGAAGGAAAAAATAAATGAGCTGTGCTTTGGAAGACCTTGCCTGAAACCCACATTAGGTTTCACACAAGGTCATCCGACCTTCTGGATTAGTTAACTGTGTCCTGAACACTGAGCAGAGGCCAGAGAGAGTGGGGTTTTGTTTCTCTCAGCCTGGGGAAGCTCATCCTTGTGCTCTGCGAGCCTGTGCTCTGGGGAGAGCGTTATCAACACTGCCCTGGCGTGGGATGGGGTGGGGGTCAGGAAGAGGGCCCAGCAACTTTAGGAGACTTTTGTTTTCTGTTTTAAGTTGCTGTCTTGGTGGCAGAGGAAGATATGAAAGGGTGGACACCTGGCTGTTGGAGTTGAGACAAGTATGAGCAGGGCTGTGGGGCCTGGTTTCCTTTCCTACCGGCTCACTTCCCCAGGGAGGGAAGATACTGCTCTAGAGAGAATTTGCTATCTTCTTCAATCAGCAAACCAACCTGCAGGCCAGTTTGGGCACTTACTCAGGGCACTGAGTTTGGGGTACCTCAGGGAGCTTATACACTCCCAGAAAACACAAGCCCTGTGAACAGTTCTGTGGTCATTGTGTGGAGCGGATGTGGGATGCAGAGGTGGGGAGAGCAGATTTCTTGTAAATAGAAGACAGGATTTTCTCATAAACAGAGGGCTCTATTGTGAGGGGGAGCTGGGCCTCCTTAGGCAGTCCTAGGTGTGGAGATGGTTGAGGAGACTAGACTGGAAGTTTGCCTGTCAGAGATGTTGCAGCGTGTGTTCTTGTGCTGGGTAGGGGTGAACTGATGGCCCACATGGTCCCTTCTGACTCGAAGATTCTGCAATTTTGAAATATACTAATGATCCTAGGCAGCGTACGATGGATAGCTTGGGCTTTACTAGGGATTCCAGTCATCAAATATTTATTGAGTGTGTACTTTGTATTGCAGCTTTGCCAGACACCTGAGGAGATTCAGATGTATGAACAATGGGATTTAAGATCTTTGTAATAAAGTGAGGCAGGAAGGGTTCCGGGCCGAAATGAGTGGCCCTGCCCCACATTACCATCCAATCAAAACCAGATAACATTCCCTTACACCAGTGCCCTGTGACTTGTGTCTTCCTGAGATGCTGGTTTCAAAGATTTCCAGGGACTTTGATCTGTAGGACAGGGGCAGAAAAGAGAAAGGCAGAGGGTGTGGGCTCGTGTCTGCAAGGGTGAATGCTGAGTGAGGATAGAGCCCCTCCTGTCAGGATGGGGGCAGGCATGAGAACTGGGAGGAAAATGAGGTGGAAATGAATGGGCCCCTGCAGGAGGAGGTAATGAGGTGAATCAGAAAAATCTGTCACTGAAATCCAGGAAGAGACTGGGAGGTTTAATCTCTCTTGGTCCTTTTAAAGATGAGACGTGTCAGTTTGAGAGCTTGGACTCATGAAGACAGATCTACCAGGCACCTAGGGGTGGAGTGGGTGGGAGCTTGCCGTAGCTGCTGTACAAAATGGTAAGATCCCCAACTTGGGCAGCCTGGAATTGGCCCTGGGGGCCATCTCTATTTTACCATCTTTGGAGTAGGAGAGGAATCCTGCTGAACCCCAAGAATTCCTTCACTGGCCAGTGCTCAGCACCCCCATCCCCATCAGCAGGCCCTTGGGAAGAGTCCAGGTATCTGTAGGGACTCTCAGGTTTGTAAGCCAGAGACAGCTGTGAGGAGGAGGTAGAGGTGACCGCTGCAGGCTGGTGAATGTCTGGGGGAAATGAATGTGACCCTCTCAAGGATTATGATTGGCTCGGTTGTTCAGGGGAGCAACTCAGGAATCAGTTTAATTAGACTCCTTAGCATCTTCACGGATAGAAACCTCTGCTTTGCTGGTTTATGTCTGTGTGTGTCCTGGAATAACCTCCTCCACCACAGCTGTGGACACTGTCAGAATCTTATGCCCAGAATATCCTTCAGGGATCATTTTTTGTAACTTGGGAAGGACATGGGTGTGATATGAAGGGTCTCAGGAGTCGGGGCAGGTACTCACATTCCCGTAACCATGTCTCCTGCTAGCCTGTAGCTTCTTTGGGGACATTGGTCTAGTTTTGACGCATGATCTTAGGTATCCATTGAAATGCAAATGCTGCTGCTGCACCCTAAATGACTGTGTACTGTAAGGAACAGAGCAGCATGCACAGAAAAGGCCCACTAGCCTGAAGGAATGGGATCTGAGACGAGGGAACTGATGGGGATGGGGACAGGTCCAGGGAGAAAAGATAAAGAACATGTGGGTTAGGGTTAGAAGCCTTGTTTGCTGTCTGCCTTTCCTCCCTGGTGAGCCGAAGGACTCCGGAGCTGCCCCCGGGTCCTGGCTGCAGGATAGAGGTGCTCAGCCATCTCTAAACCATAGGGCCGGTGGACCTGACATTGTGGCCTGGGACATCTGAGAGCCTCTGTGAGATAGATGGGCGCTGGAGTGAGATTTTATTCTACTTTGAATATGAGAATAGGAAGGCTGCTTCTGGGAGTTTTGCTCCTGTCTGCATTCAGATCTCCTCAGGGTTCTTTGCTTTGAAGAATGAACAGAAGCCAGGGGCTTCATTTGACAAGGGCTCTGCGGGGGAATTGTGGGATGTGGTTGTGAACTGCAGGGAGCCCTTCTGCTGCCCAGATGATGGATGTGACAGCCCTCTGCGAGGGAGGCAGCCAGATGCTGGTTGCTTTTCTGGTGTTAGCTCTCACTGGTGGGGTTCAGCTAGAAAGCCCTGGCAGGTATTATACGCAAGCCAAACGAGGGCCAGAGGCACCTGGCCTGAACTCAGGATCCTCACCTGAGTTTTCCCTGGGAGTTTTCCCTGCAAAGGGCAAGGCTGTGGAGGGGAGGGGCTGAGTTGGAAGCTGAAAGAGAAGGGGCATAGGATGGACTCCAGTCCCAGAGGAACTGTTTTAAGTCAGAGTGACCAAGAGGGAGCCCTCATGCCACTGTGCGTCATCAAGTACTGAGAGCTGAGTAATGAATGTGTAACCCTAGAAACTCAGAGCTGGCCATTTTCAGATACTCCAACTGGGCCTTTCCCATGAGGCTCCCTGCGTTTCCCGTCTCCACCTGCCAACCTCTGGGTTGGACTGTTTGGTTTTATCTTCATCCTTGGCTGACATGTTCAAGAGCTAATTGAGCTTAGAGGGTGAAAAGAGGCTCACCTTCACTTTCAGGATTAAATTCAAATCCCCCAGGACTAGACAGTCTAGTCTTTGTTGTCCATTTCCTACCTGCTTTTCCTGCCTCATCTTTTGACACCATCCCACATGCACGGCACCTACTAGTCCAAACACATAGAAATGTTTGTGGTTTCCAGAGAATGGGCTGCTGTCATTCCTCTGTCTTTGCCCATGCTGTTCCCTCTCCCTGGAGCATAGCCTTCACTTCTCTCAGTCCAGAGATGCCTGGCTCTTCCTGGGAGGCCTTAGAAAGAGCTCGTGGCTCATCTTTTCTAGAGTTCCTTTCCTGATGCCCCGTGTCTCCCCAGTCTGGGCTGAGAGGTCTCTTCTCTGCCCTCCCAGTCAACCCAGTCACAGCAGTTACTGTATTCAATTGTGATCATTTGCTCCTTTGTCTTCCTTTCATTTGATGGAGTTTTGCTCTTGTTGCCTGGGCTGGAGTGCATTGGGGCAATCTCAGTTCACTCCAACCTCTGCCTCCTGAAGCGATTCTCTTGCCTCAGCCTCCCAAGTAGCTGGGATTACAGGCCTGTGCCACCATGCCCAGCCGATTTTTATATTTTTAGTAGTAATGGGGTTTCACCATGTTGGTCAAGCTAGTCTTGAACCTCATGGCGTCCACCCGTTTTGGCCTCCCAGAGTGTTGGAATAACAGGTGTGAGCTACTGTGCCCTGCCAAGTTCCTTTGTCTTCCTAAGAAACAAACAATTTCTTCTGGAAATTTCTTCCCAGTGCTTAGCACTCTTTCCGATTCAGAATCATACTTATTTGTTTAGTTGCCAGTTGTCCAATTGTCCGTGCCCTCCCCACCCCCACTAAAATTTAAGCTCCATGAGAGCAAAGACCTTGCCCGCTTTATTCACTGCCAAACGCCGATGTCTAGCACAGAGCGGGCCAGCAATAAATATTTGTTGAATGAATGCATGGAAGTCATGAGCTGTGTTCACATTTGGCTCCTCCCCCGAGTGCCGCAGTGACCTGGTGTAAGTTCCTCAGCATACTTTGGATGATGTGGGGAGGGGAGTCGTGGTGGGACCTGTGTCTAGTGCACAGCCCTTATGCACCACTTCAAGTCTTCTGTCTGAAATCTTCCAGCCTCTGCTCCTGTGGCCAGTTCTGTGTAGGATTCCCAGCTTTGTGCATGTACATCTCAGAAGTACGGAGGAGTTCATACCTTGTGG